CCGCTGTCCCATCGACGGCCGCCGTCAGTGGTGGCAGCCCTTCCTGGGCTACCGGCCAGGTTCCCACCTTGGCCAGTCTCTCGGCCTCTGCTCAATTCGACGTTTCAGCTGCCGCATTTAGGGTATGTTTTTTTATGGGGTCATGACTGTGCCTTCTGTTGTTGTTTGACAGGAAATCATTGCTGCTGTTGGCTGTGGTCTGCATATAAAAGAAGTACAGACAGAGACGAGAGACAGAAACTGGAATGACTATTTCTGGCTTATTAGCAGCGTCAGCCAGGTTCTCCGGGTTGTACGCAGAGCACTACAATCAGTGGGCCCACTTCCGTTTTTTAAGATGGGAAAGGCACCGGTAAAAGTCATGCTTATTGTGTACAGAAACGCAGTTGTGATTAAGCTCGGGGTATGCTTTTTATAGGGTCATTCCCGTGCATTTTGTTCTTGTTGTTTGCCAGGAAGCCATTGCCGCTGTTGGCTGTGGTCTGCATGTAAACTTCTTATAGAAGAAGTACAGACATAAACAAGGGACAAAAACTGAAATGGCTATCTCGGCCTCATTAACCGGTAAAGGCCATTACAAGAGAACATGCGATTCCCAGGAAGTAAATGAGAGGAAGAAGATTCGATCGCTGGGGCAGGACTTCTATTCGCCTGACGTTTCGACTGCCGTAGTGGATTCTTCATCAGAGACATGAGCAGAAACGGGTGATACATGCACAGGAAGTTGCAGTATCTACAGGACTGCCCACGTCTCTGATGAAGAATCCGCGATTAAAGGTCGAAACGTCAGGCAAATAAAATTTCTGTCCCAGCGGTCGAGCCTTATTCCTCTCAAGTAAAAGTATTTTTTGTTTCGTCCAGAAATGCATTGTGGTGGTCGAGCTGTAGGCCGGCGCGCGCTTGCGCCTGTCCGTCAGGGTTGTGTGGGCGTGGGTGAATAAACGTCATGTGTGACTCACTCACAGTTGATTGGCCGAAAACAGTTTGTTGGCGCCTGTGATTGGCTGCCCAAAATAGGCTGTGTTTGCGTTCACTGTCCGACCGCTCGAGAACTGTGATCATCACATGGTGGCCGCCCCAAACACGTCGTCGTGGGCGCGCGCTACGGTGAGC